CAAAAAATTCCAAACCCAAGGAATTTCCTCAGGGCAGGATCAGGGGCGTGGAAAAAAAAGCTGAATTTTAAATGTAAAACATCAGGGCAGTGGTTTTTGTTTTTACCCTTTGCATAATTGGTGGCCACAGATCATCCCCTGAAATGACCTAAATTTATCCCGTCTGGGGCTTTCCAAGGCCAGGTTGTTTTCTGAAATTCTGGTTTCAGTTTTGCTTTTATTTTTTAGGGTTTTAAATTTTTTTTTTCTTTCTTTCTTTCTTTCTTTCTCTCTCTCCTGGTGTCTTCCCCGGCTGAATTTTGGTTCTAAAATGCAGATTTCACCTGGGGCTGCCTCGCTCTGCTCCCATGAAAATGAGATTTCGTTGGAGATTTCCTCGGGAAAAGGGAACCGAGGCCCCCCAACGGCTGCAAAAAGGACAAAGGAAGGGGAAAAAACGCTCCAAAAAAATCAGGTGGGATCAGGAGGGATTTCCCCATGGAATCGGGAATTTCCACGTGGAATAGGCAGGAATTTTCCTACAGGATCAGGGGGAACTTCCTCATGGGATCAGGAATTTCCTTTTGGAATCAGGAGGAATTTTCCCATGGAATTAGGAGGAATTTTCCTGTGGAATTAGGAGGAAATTCCTCATGGAATCAGGAATTTCCTCTTGGAATCGGGAGGAATTTTCCTGTGGAATCAGGAGGAATTTTCCCATGTAATTAGGAGGAAATTCCTCATGGAATAAGGAATTTCCTTTTAGAATCAGGAAGAATTTTCCTATGGAATCAGGAGGAATTTCCTATGGAACCAGCAGGAATTTTCCCTATGGAATCAGGAGGAATTTTCCTATGGAATCAGGAGGAATTTTCTATGGAATCAGGAGGAATTTCCCCATGGAATCAGGAGGAATTCCCTATGGAATCAGGAGGAATTCCCTATGGAATCAGCAGGAATTTTCCCATGGAATCAGGAGGAATTCCCTATGGAATCAGGAGGAATTCCCTATGGAATCAGGAGGAATTTCCCCATGGAATCAGGAGGAATTCCCTATGGAATCAGCAGGAATTCCCTATGGAATCAGCAGGAATTTTCCCATGGAATCAGCAGGAATTTTCCCCATGGGAAAATTTTCCCCAGGCTCCATCCCACCAGAACCAGCCCCACATCCCTTGGAAATCTCCCACTTTTCCCCTCCTCAGCAACATTCCAAAACCACAATCCCGATTTTACGATTCGGCCAAGGCCGACCTCACCCTGCCGAGCTCCTGGAAGCCACTGGGGGTTTTTTGTTTTTATTATTTTTTATCATTTTTAATCCCAAGGAATTTCCTTTTTTTAATGCCGCCCAAACCAGGAAGCCGCCTATCTACAGCCAGCAGTGACCAAAATTTGGTTTTCCTGGAATTTTCCCCCCATTTCCCTGCCCACACCCACACGTTTTAGGCTTTTTGGGGTCCTGAAGTTGAATTTTTTTTTTTTGCATTTCCAGCAGAGCCTTGCAGAGGCTCCATTTCATCTGGAGGGAACTTTGGGGCCACCACCCAAAAACACCCCACAAACCCCAGGAACAGAACCAAACCCAGCAAGTCTGGGATTAAAAAAAACCCAAAAAAACTAAAAATTTCCATTTCCAAAGACACAGCCCCAAAACCAGAAGGGCCAAAAGGCACCGCTGTGGTTTTCACTTTGCTGGAGTCCAAAATTGCTTTTTTTGGTTAAAAATGTGGGATCTGGGGCCCTTCTCTTCCCCTGCACCCCGGATTAAAAGCAGCTGACTGATCCCATGGATTCCTCAAATATTTCCTGCCCACACCAAGGGATGTTTCCACTGTAAAGTGAAAGAAAATTGGGGGGAAAAAGGAGATTTTTGGAAGTTCTGATGTCACCCAGCAAAATTCCTTCTTTGGCACTGCAGGAATTCTCTGCCCCTTTTTTTTCCCATCAGTTCTGCACCATCCTCGGGTTTCTCAGCACAGCAAATCCACGCTGAGGACACGAAAAATTTCCCATCCGTGCCATAAATTGCATTAATTGCATTAATTGCGATAATTAATGGCACAAATGAAAGCCCTGGGCAGGAAGGGGAAGGGGGTTGTGGCTGTGAGCTCGGCGTTCGCCGTCACCGGGGGCATTTGGAGCTTCTAAAATCACAAAGATTTATTTTTATTTCCACAAAAAAAACCCAAAAAAAACCTCCTGAGCTGACAGAACAAAGCCTTCGGTCTTGCCTTACTTTGCACTTATTAATTTGGGGAGTTTGTTTGCGATTTAAATATTCTTTAGATGACAAAGAAGCAGCAAATTGTGTTCAAATGGCACAGGGGGAAGCAGCTGAGGTGACACTGGTGTGTGTGGGAGGAAAAAAAATTATAAATTCTATCCTAAAATATAAATGATATCCTAAGGAATAAAACAAAACCAGGGAATGCACAATCCTCAATCCCTGGCCCTTCCCAATGTGGATTTTCACCATTCCCAATGTAGATTTTCACAGTGAATATTGATTTTCACCATTCCCAATGTGAATTTTCACCGTGAATATTGATTTTCACCATTCCCAATGTGGATTTTCACCGTGAATATTGATTTTCACCATTCCCAATGTGGATTTTCACCGTGAATATTCATTTTCACAATTCCCAATCCCTGGCTCTTCCCAATCTGGATTTTCACCGTCAATATTGATTTTCACAATTCCCAATGTGGATTTTCACCGTGAATATTGATTTTCACCATTCCCAATGTGGATTTTCACCATGAATATTGATTTTCACCATTCCCAATGTGCATTTTCACCGTGAATATTGATTTTCACCATTCCCAATGTGCATTTTCACCGTGAATATTGATTTTCACCATTCCCAATATGGATTTTCACCATGAATATCCCAGCAGGATCGGTCAGGGGCGTCACTTTTGGGATCATTTTGGGATTCAGGCTTTTCTCCGTTGCTGTGTTTTGTCTGGACAAGCCAGCCTTTATTTATTTTATATATTTTTTGCTGATTTCTGACCTTTCCCAGCAGCAAAATCGCAATTTCTGCAGGCAGGGCTAAAAATCAGGGAATGAGCCACAGCTTCCCAAAGCAGTTTGCATCTTCCCAGCCCAGCGAGGAATTCCAGCGGCTCAAGGACGTTACAGAAGTATTTTAAATTC